AAAAAAAGTATTAAAAGCTGTGCAACATATAAGTAATTGAATTAATTCTTTTCTAGTGAATAGAGTTTGGCACCGAATGAAAAAAAGTCTGATTTGAATATCTTAAAAATTTGCTAAGTTTCAAGCAATTTTCTAAGTAGTTTTTGTACTAGTTAAAAGAAAGCTTAAAATGATAAGGGTATTTTTATAAATATTATTTTGTATCCTGAGACAATCCCCTTATTTTGAGCTTTAAAAAGTACGAAAACTACTTAGAAAGTTACTTGAAACTTCTTAAATTTTTAAGATATCAGACTTTTTTCATTGGTTGCCAAATAAATTTTTCAACAAATTAATATTTTTGTAAAATTTTTTCTCACTCATGCGTAGTATAAAAGAACTACTTTAATTGCTCATATCTTGCGCAATTTTAAACGAATTTTTCTCAAATTTTAAAAGAGTAACTTTGCAATTATTTAATTTTTAATTGCCCCAGAAGTTTTATTTGCTTTATTGGATAGTTTTAAAGTTATATAACAAAAAAAAGAAGAAAAAAAACGCAAGACAAAATATTACTTTTTTATAAAAAGGCTCATATCTCCATAGATATTTAAGCTATGTTGACGAAATTTTGTGCAGTTATTGCATATAACAACCAAAATAACTGTGACAAGTTGCAAATTTATTGCCAAATTTTTTGTCACTGGATGTTCAAAAACACTTTTTTTCCGTTTGTAATTTATTGTCGGTCCCTCAAACCTTTTAAACACCATTGATATATATGACAAATCGCATAACCTAATTATTTCTAAATTTATAAAATAATTTTCTTAGTATTTTTTGAGAAAGATAAAAAAATGTGTTAATATAGAAGTATTTCCATTATTTTGTCCACCCCCGGTAAAAAAAACTATATATATATATATATATCAAAATCATTTTAAACCCCATTTATTTTAAGAAGAATAAAATATAATCATAAATTTTGCCGCCACATTGAACGTAAAAATGAAATTTTTCGGAGAAGCCTGAAAAGTTAGCTAGCATGTATATATATATATATATATATATATATATATATATATTGTTTGTTACATATATATTATTTTATACATCGTCATAGGTTATTCGACTTATATTATATTATCTTCTTAGAATTTTTGCTTTTATTAAAATTCTGGGAAAACCAATTTTATTTCTAATATACTTCAGTAAACATGAAAGCGATCTGCATTTTTATTCTCTTTTAGAAACGAAAAGTTTTTTTCTGTTGACGTAGGAAAATATTTTTAACCTTTATTTTCATGAAACATATTTTTAATCTATCATCTTTATTAGTTTCTAAAAAAAAAAAGATTTTTCTTTTGAAAAACTTGATTTGTTATTGTATTTTTTAGATATTCTTAAAAATTCAAAGCTTGTATATTTTTTCAATTATTGTAAAAAAATATTAGATGAATGCTTTGCGACTGATTAATTTTTTTAATCTTATAAATTATTATTTTTTTATTTAAATTTATGATAAAATTGTATGCATTATGTTTAATTGTTGTTCGCCTCATTAAAATAATTTTTAAACGCTGATAATTTTAAGAAAAAACTTATCGGCAGTTAGAGGAAAATAGCTATAATTCGATGAATAAGTTTTTGTTTAAAAATACTATTTTATAATACATTGTCAGGGGTCTGTCCAGACATTTTGTGAAAGGTTCGGTTTTTGTGAAATTGTGAAAAAATTACTCACATTCTTTCAACCAATGTCCTGCTTTTATGAATTTGTGCAAATAGGGTCCGGTTATTGCAAAAAACTTTTTCAAGGAGTTTTGAAATTGTAAATAGATACAAGATTATGCTCAACACTGTAAAATTATAATAAAAAAATTATATTTTCAAAATTAAACAGCGATTTCTGCTTCTAAATTAGAGATGCAACATACAAATATTTGGTATTTAACCTGTACTTCTGAACGCAGAATATTCATTTCGGACGAATAATGGAAGAATCGTCTGCCGAAGACAAAACTTAATTCGTTTACATCCATCTTTCTTGTTTCCTGCCCTTCGAAGGATTTATTCAGTTGACAAAACAATAATGAAGATAAACAAATTTGTGAAGGGTCCGATTCAAAGAAAAATCATTTTGTGAAGGGTCCGTTTTTAAGTTAAAATATTTTGTGAAGGGTCCTTTTTATGAAAAGATATTTTGTGAAGGTTCCGTTAACGGACCCAAATTTCTTATAAACAGACCCCTGATTGTGCAAGGACATACATACATTACATATTTTATTTATATTTTTCTCAAATAATTCTAAACATATGCAACAAATTGCATTATACTCATATACATATGAATTAAAGTGCAGGATTCCGGCTGTTTACGAATGTAATTACAATTGAAATATTATTAAAAAGTAAATAAAAAGGATTGGTATAATCTTTTTTAAGCTGTATAATTTCGTTAAAAGTTGTTTTATATAATTTATAATTCCTGAAATGTGTGCTTTAAATTTACCTGAAAGGGAATAGAATTATATCATCATTAACCTACCGAAAAACAAGCGAAAACAAACAAATCACAAATTCCACTGATTGTTTTTTTCTTTATAATATTTTTGAAATGACGAAATCAAGTGTGTTGACTTATATTAGGTTAGCAAATCTTTATGTATGAAGTAACTAGTCCATTAATTAAAAGGAAATCGCACAGTAGAAAGGGCATTGTGAATTTATCTTTTTCTTCTTTTCTTTAAATACTTTATTTTATTATAAAAAAAAGCCTTTTAAAAAACATAATTTTATGCCGACCTCTCCTTTAACCTAGAGTGATCATATAACTGTTGGTGCTGTTAAACTGGTGAAGCTATTAAAAGTCTACGGTGATTTTGAAGATAAAACTATAAAAATTCTTAGTTCGGAGGGATGTTTAATTGTTTTTCTTCAGGATATAATCTCAATATCAAATATATATTTAAACTTATTATTATTTTGATGGGATGGTCTGAGGAATTATAATCTTCCCGAAAAGGCTTAAATGAAAATGACGAGGTTTCGCCTTCTATTTCTCACTCCCGTAATATTGACGGGCTGGAGTGTTCAGTAGTAACGCGCCGATAAGAATAAAACTATTTCATTTCTTTTGCCTGGAAAACATTTTATTTCTCATTTTACACACCAGATGGCAGTACCAGGATATTTTTAATGTAATTGTAAATAGTTAGTTTATTTTAAACTAGATGTCAGCACTAATCAAATACGTAATACAAATATAAAAGCCAAAAAAATAGGTGCTTATATGACCGTTTTCTTGAAAATTAACCGATCGTTAAGAGGTTAATGTCCGGCCATCCGATAATCTTGACCTAAGATCATTGCGTTATTAAATTCACCAAATACTAACTTTTGTTCCGAACTCAATTGCCAAGCAAGATCTAATTCTAATTTTCAAATTTTGTATAAATTGCACCAGGTGAATAATTGTTTTTGCAACAATTAGATTTTTTTTCAAGTTCATAGTGTTTCAAATATATGGCAGGTTTTAAATTGAAATTCGAAAGTTCATTTTTTACTGTTTTCTGAAACTAATTTTAATTGGTTCATTTCATAATAATTGTTAATATTTTTCAAGTGGCTTCAAAAATTAAATTTTTAATTTGTTTAAATCACATTCCTATTTAAGATTTCAGTCACATAATGTGGTATATTACGCTGAAAAACTGTCAATATAATTTATTTAATTACTTTAAAATAATTAAAAATTAAAACTAATTTTAAAAAATTAGACGTCTTACTTATTTTTAAACGTGAGTGTACATGGCTTAAAAAAGTAAAAAATACAATTTTCCTATTTATAGTTTTCGCCCAGCATAATTACGAAGCGAAAAAAAAAAGCTTTAACTTTGGCATAAAGTAACTCATGAACTAATCACCACATCTATAACATTTTGAAATCAAAATGCTCTTCATGCATTTCTTCAGAAATATGCAAATTTTCATATTGTTTTATGTTATAATTTTTGAGCTACGACAGTTGGAAGGGTTATGCGACAATTTTTCACATTGGATAATTTTTTTTTTATCCTGATAGGATTTTCAAGCAACTTCGAAAATGCTAACTAATGAGTGCTAACTATAATTTAATTTTAGAATCAGTCACAAAAACGCACTTTTTATGAATAAATTTTTCTAAGTTTCTCTTTTTTTTCTTCTCCCAACAGGCTTTAATTTTCAGTTATCAAAATATGAGAATGGTAGCGGTTTGGTTTCATTAATGTTAATTTCCCGTTTTATATATTTTTCCATATTTATATATATTTTTTGAAGCTAATTAAAAAACATTTTCACAAAATTATAAATTTAGTTTATCCAAAGATAAAATCCCGTGTGAAAATTTATTTTTTAATAGTTTATTACTATTTTTTATGAGTTTATTTATCAAGTGTCGAAAACATTTGAATTGTATGGTATAAAAGTGATTCCATAATTTTAAACTAAGTAATTTTTAATAACAAAGTAAAAAAAAAAATTGAGCGAAATAGTTTTTGAGAGATAGAATTTTAAACATGTTGCTTTTCTGAAATTTTAAACAGATTTCGTTCATAATCTGTATTTTGTCATTGAAAATTACATAATTTAAAATGGTATAGAAATTTGTTTACCTTGCAATACAAAATTTTTAGCCTTATTAAATTTAAAAAAAAAAATTTTTTTTTGTTATAAGGAATGAACACGATACTAATTTATTCGAACGATTCTTTAAATTTATGCAAAGTGCATCCCGAAATATAATTGATGACAGTAAAGCGAGTGCATATTAATTTTATTAATATTTAAGAAAAAATATAGCATAAATCAGGTTTTACCCCTCTTGAATATGCGAAATATTACCCATATAAGATATTCGCAATAAACTAATTTTTGATTGTTATCAATAAAAATGTTGAATAAGTGATTCATACATGTTCTTTTTTTTAGTGCTTTCTTTTTTTTTTTTTTTTTTAATGAAAAGTGTTTCTTATTTACAGGCGACTCACTGCAATGTTATGCTTTATAAACTTGGTTGCTTCATAGAAGGTAAGTTGAATACTTATGGTATATATTAATTTTGTTTTTAGGGAACAGTATACTGCGTGTTTTACTGAAAAGTTCCATCGTTTCATAAACTATGGACAACTTTTAAAAATTATTCAAAACCAAACTTTTCTTTTTTGGCGACCTATTTGATTGCCGTTATAAAAAAGATGTTCTTTTATTGATTCCTTTATTGATCGTTATGATTCCTTTTTTTTAAAAATTAATATCCCTATATTGATAACCTGGTTGGTAGGGCACTGGGCTCATGTCCAAGAGGTCGTGGGTTCGATTTTCGCCGACCGAAGACTCCCCGTGTAGTAAATGGTGACTGTTGCACGTTAAATCTGTCGAGTCTCAAAGTCCTCCATGTTCCCATAACAAATCAGAACCTCTGGGGGTACTGATCCAGGTGTTTCCTTGTTTTTTGGATTGGTTCAAAACTACAAGGCTACGGAGTTGAACATTAGTACTCGTAAGCCCAAAATTGGATCGGCTGTTCAACGACGGTTATAAAAAAAATAAATATCCCTGTATTAAAAAGAAAGTTTCGATAATTAATATTTTTCCGGCAGTCTTATTTAAAAATGTAAAGAAATAACACTTTTCATCGAAATTTCATATTTATATCTGTAACAGGTTCTTTGTCATTAATTTTATGAATGAATTCCTTAATTTCTAATGAATTCATTAAGATTTACATTTTACGATATTTTTAATGAATATGCGATTTTCTTGTTATTGACAACATGCACAAGCTACAAACACTATTTATTTTTTACTCTCTCTTAGCACTTAATTTTAATCGAACCGATTTTTTTTAATTGGCGAAATTCTTGTTGTAAATCACAATTATTGAATGAAAAGATTCTTATAAACAAACTCGAATTTAATGTGTCATATTTTGTCATCGTGGACAATTAGCAATTATTTTTATTGATTTGTATTAGTTTTCTATAATTAGCAAGTGTTCATTTTGTCGCATTCTCACGTGCTTATATAATTCGAACAAAATAGTACTGTTTAGTACTGCTAACAAAATAGTAACTCGATTTTTGTACTGTAATGAAAGTTGAATAAATTATATCTCTATGTTAAAAGGCTAATCAAAAAGAGAAGAAGAAATTCTATAACTTCTCCTCCAGGGCCAGATTACCCATTTGGCCAGACTAGGCCATGGCCTAGGGGCCCCCTTAAAATGGATTTTTTGAAAATAAATTTTAAAAAATTAAGTAAAGCAATGATTTTTCAATTTTTTTTCAAAATGTTGTGATTGGAAAGGAAAGCTGATTTTAGATGTTTTTCGATCTTCTGTCGCCTTATTAAACAACACTTTATTACGACTAATGTACTATTTTAATATCTGCTGTGTGTTTGAAACGATTGTTTCTAATTACCACGTTTGTATCAACTTGCCTTCGTGTCTGTCTGTTTGGATGGAATTTTGTAATCGATTTTAAACTAACTTCCCGACTAGCTACATACTTCAAATTTGGCACAAAGTTCAGAATTGGATGACAATGCATGAAAATGAAGAGAAAAGAGACATAGAAAGTAAAATAAAATTAAAATAAAATAAAAATTAATATTTTCGCGATTGGCTTTTGTTGTCGATTCGATTATTTCAAATTAGTGCCACATGTCAGTTGAAAAGTTTTGTGTACAGTGAGTGAAAAAATTGAGATTTTAGAAGTGAATACAAAAAAAAAGGAAATCAAAATAAAAATAATATTTATAAAAACCACGTTTTTGTAGTGGAGAATAATAATTAAAAGACAAAAATTTGAAAAACGTGGGGCGCATGAAATACATAACAGTACATACACACATTTTCTTACTCATACACATGCACAACCACATACACGTTCAGATACAATTGCAGATATACACATATTCTCATGAGCACACATACTGTTACTGTTATGTATTTTATGCGCCCCACGTTTTTCGTTTTTCTAAGTTTTGTTTTTCAATTATTATTTTCCCTTACAAAAACGTGGTTTTTAAAAATATTATTTTGATTTTTTTTAGGTCACATTAAGCATATTTCTAGTCTACGCTATTTCGGAAAATTGCTCAAAATGTCAATATAAAGAAAATCCATCCTTTTATGAAAATGAAACGCGTTTGTGATCTATTTTTTTAATATTTAAAAAGTGACTCCATCCCTGCCTTTTCTGAGCTTCATAAAATTGAGAATTATTAATTAATTTTGATAATTGTCAACTCAGCAGAAAAATCTCGTAAAATTATCGCATTGATAGTAATATAAACTATTAAATAACTTTTAAAATATTTGTGTTGTCCGTTCTGAAGCGCTGATCATTCTTTATCGCAAGATGGTAAGTATAGAGTAAAATTATTGCTTTGCCTCAAGAGTAAAGAATTTAAACCGAGATATCTTTTATTTTCCTAGACGTTAAGAGCTTCAAAAATAACTGTAAACAGCGCTATTATTTTTTGCAGGGAAAAATATTATTTATGAGGAATAAATTGGTTAAAAAATTTATTTGTTTCAAAAATATACAAGTTCTAAAATATACGAAAAAATAAAACATTTTACCTGTTTTAAGCACTCAAACACAGGCTCCTATTTTCAAAAAAACCGCAGTGGTCAAGAGAGGCAAATCAGGGCTTAGTGCATTTGTAAGTGCTATGGAGAGGTGGCGAGGCATTAGCATTCATATGAATAAAACAGCCTTATAGGACATAAAGATGTGACCCTGGTGGAAAAATTTTGGTATTGTCGAAAACTAATTTATGCCCAAGATTCCAACAATGTGCAGCCATTGATGATTTATGGAAATTCTTGATAACGGACATATCTATCATGTTCCTTAAGTCTAAATTTGCCCCTCTCGGCTGCGGTGGTTTTTCTAGTTTTGTTTCTCACCTTTATTTTGCATTGTAATGAAATACACTATAAATTTTTCAGTTTTGTTTGATTGAATTATAAGTATGAGTTTTTTAAAATTCTTCGATTCATATACAGTCTTAAATGTTCAAATTTAATGCAAAATAGTGTAGAAAAGAAGGGCAACATTTTCCCCCTGTTAGTAAAATAAAAGTTAAAATATCATTGAAATATACTTCACGAATTTGTAGGGGTATTTTAAGGGCACGTGTGACATCATGACCATTTTTGGAAACAATTTTTGTATAATTAAAATGTTTCATACAGAAATAAATAAATTTTTGGGGGGAAAGCAATTTAATTTTTGAATCGGAATATCCTCTGTCGGCATATTTTAAGAAATTTTCTCTGCTGTAACTCTCCTTTGTGTTTCTTAAATCTCACATAAATGCCCTAAGTCTTAAAACAATATTCACGTGCATTACACTAATTAAAATTTAGGTATTTTGTGAACTGAGGTCACCTTCACTTATTTCAAGAAATAAATAAAGTCTATCTTGAATAAGTAATATAAGAAATTCAAGACTGTGAATAGGCTCCAAATTGTGATGCTACAGGCAGCGACTTTAAAAATAGCTCTTTTCAAAACATAGTTGAGTTAATTTATGTTAAGTATATAATCTAAGTCCTATTCAAGTTAATTCCATCATCTCCTTAGAATTCAAACCAATGTCGTAATTATTTTTCCGAGTATAATTTTAATTCTATATTAGAAAACATTTTAAAATTAGAATTTCTTTTTACTTATTACAAAACTACCTATACTTGTAAGCTGATCAGATTTTTTTATTTTAATTTCTTAAGTTTTATTGTAAACATTACTCCGGGGTAACTGTGGGAAAAGAAACTGTTTTTGACCTGACTTAAAAAATTAGCTAAGTAATAAATAAACAATTATGTTTTTTAGTTTGAGTTTGCATTTAATTATAATATAAAAATTAGTTAGCTTAAAAAATGTGAAAAGGTTTGTTTGTTTGATATGTTTAGTTTTTTTTAAAAAAACATTTTTTCTTCATAATTTAACTCTCAACTCTAAAAATAATTCAATGATAGCATTGTCTTCAGTACACTCAGAATATATCTTTTCAGTAATCGTAAAAAAAAAAAACTTTTTAAATGAGAGATACTCATAAATATTTTGAATAAATTTTAATCTACGTATTGGTTTGTTTATATTTTTATTTTGATATTTTTTTGTGTTTCCGTGTTTGACTTTTTTTTCCCACATATACTGCAGAGGTACTTGAAAAAAAAAAGTTGACCTAAGGAATATGGATTGGGGATACTCAAAACAAGGAAATAAATGTGAAGTAGTTTCACTCATTGAAGAGACTTATACTATTCATAAATTTTTTATTTTATTTTAAAATATTTTACAATGAATGTTAATATTCAATCTGGCAAATAGTAATCTCACGGCCGCGATAACCTTGTTGGTAGGGCAATAGGCCTATGTTCAAGAGATCGTGAGTTCGATTCCCGCCAACCAAAAACTCTCCATGTAGAAAATGGTGACTAGTGCACATTAAATCAGCTTGGACACAAAGTCCATGTTCCCGTAACAAATCATACCTCTGGGATACTGAATTGGAGATTGATCGTTTTTTGGTTCAGGTCAAAATTACGATCTGTGGATGAATAAATGGCTGCATGAATGGGTCCGCCCTCTAAATCGGGCTGTGTCGGGCTATTGGCGGGAAGAAAAACGCTGTATTTAGTTCATTAACAAATGTGGCTCTTTTAGAATGTCAAATTTCATCAACTCTGTATATTCATTTCTGAGACCTGTAGAAGCGGTCCGATGGTATTTTTTCCATAAAGTTTAACGGTTAATAATTCTTGAAGATATTATTGAATAATAAATTTGTTTATTCCACCGTGATACCTGTATACTGTTTTACACACCTTAGTTATTTCAAATTTTAAGTCTTAAGTTTTTCTGCAGCAAAACAAAAAGAAACATTCAGTTCAACACCCTAACGAGCGGTCCCTTCGTCGGCCTTAACGATTTTTTAAAATAGAGGGAGAATAAATAAATAAATAAAAGGCTGGATAATGAGTTTATTAACCTTCTCTAACACAATTTTCC